AGCCCGTCGACCAATCGCGACACCCCGTTCCTCCGTGACGTCATCTCGCCCCCAACAGCGAACGATTCGAACAGCGTCCGAGCGCGAACAACCGAGAGACGAGAGCAACGTTAGCTTACCTTGCGTAATTTATGACCGGGAATCCAGCTGAACTTGACTCGAATACGCGACGCCGTTTAAATATTTGGACTTGCGACAATGCTGCGAGTTATCTCGAAAATTCGATTCGTTTTGCCGATGCAAAATCGTGTATCGGAATAAAGCGGTTGCATGATTCCTTCGAATTCGACGTTTTCTGCAAACGTAATACTACGTACATGAATTTTACATGCTTAATTTGTCATAGTAAGCACGGAAAGTTTTTTTTATTATGAAAATAATCTTTTCGTCGCACTATTGTTTTGTACGTGATTTTATAAACATCTTAAATTCCGTTTAAATTGCTATGGCGGAATAAATTATTCCGACCTTGCACGAACAATTCGTGATACTTAAAGAATCGTTGCCGTGATCAAATACTCGATTCTGTTCAATGAAGCGAAATTCGTTCCACTTAATTTTTAGCAGTTTAATGTCTCGAGCACCAGATATCTCCGACGATAATTATGTAACGCGACGATATCTTTATACCGAAGCAACTTATTATGTACTTCATTCGAGGCACCCACTCGATCCTAAAAAAATTAATTAAGCCCATTTTTTATTTCGCATCTGAAATAATTAACTAATTTGTAACGAGAAGTCAGTTATAATTTCTAGCAATTTTTATTGTACCGATATATTTATCAAATCTCCATATCCTCGAATCATTATATTCCCAGAACCCTGAAACTTCTACGTTTACAAATAGTTACTACGAAGATCTGGTAAGATTTAAACGAGTAGAAAATGTGATTTACGACAGAACAAATCCAACGTTGCATCACTCGTTACGTGCCATGAGAAACAGATTCTGTACCGCCAATTAAAAGAATTTACTTAATTGTTCATCTATTACGAAATGGCCTATTTCAACTCGGAGCAAATGATGGTAATTACACAATAGTTTATATATAACTTAATTTGACATACTTCTCGTTAACTTTGCCATTCGTGGTTATACGATTGTAAAACTTGCGGAGGTAATCGAACGTGCTTAAATAGATTTTATATTGAATTAAATATCGAAGAAGTTCGAATTTATCGAATTTTTGTTGAATGTTTGATTAATACGTTAACATCGTGATCTTGGCTGATCAACATCGAAACGCGATATATCGTGATAACATTAATTGAATGGGAAGGAAAAATACAAGGAATCCAAACGAATTAAATTAATAATGATATACGAGAGCGGGTTGAAATTTGAAACTTCCAAATAATTCAAATTCCTAAACATACGCGCTCGACGATAGTGAAGAAGTTCGACTAGAATGCGGTATCGATCGAAAGTTGCGATATAACGAGAGTATTATGTTTAAAAACAACGAAGATTCTTGCAACCAAGGATCGAAAGTGTTTTCGCGCCGTTGTAAATTTTTGCACTGAAATTTCTCGAATCGTTCTTAACCTTTTTCGAGCGATACCGAGTGAAATATCTATTAAGATATGGCGACATTACGACGCCATACTTTAATCAGTCCAGACAAGCCGTCATCGAAAATATACGATTCCACGTGTTCCAATATAGATTATCAGTCGATAGTTTCCGTTTCATAAATAATGTCACACGTATCTTCGTTAACTACGATAGGAAGCTTTAACGCGACAAGTGCAGTTTGCCAGCTGTAAATATTGCACCCTGTCACATAGCGCAGGAGCTAGGTAATATCACTTTGTCAGAATATCATGAACGTTGTTTAGTAAGCACAAAGCGAGATGTGATATAGAGCGTCGTAGCAAATAACCGAATTCTATTTGCCAGCGAAACATACGATTCATTTTGACCACTTCTAGGAACGAGTATCGTTCAATGTTACGAGTTCAAAGGTTCGCTAACTTAACGATTAAGGATGTATTGGACTCGCTTTAAATCGCAGCCGAGTTAACGAAAATTCGGTCAATTATTCCATCGTTTTATTCGCAAGAAACATGGACGTTAACGAATTTTCAATTATCGGTAGATTGTCTCCGACACATCTTTGAACAGATGCCGAAGAAACTTGTAATACCAAACGAATCGAACAAAACGTTGAAGCACCCGCGCGAGTTATTTAACGAGATTAAATGTATTTTGAATCGAAATAATTGGAGCAGTTCTCCTTTCCTAGGTGTTTCTCCAATTTTCTAGAATCAACGATTCGCGGAATGTACTATAGCGTTAAATTTAGTTTACAAGAAATCAATACCGAGTATCGCGTTAGAATTGATCAGTTTACCGGCTGCTAAATTTAATTTACATAATATCAGTGTTTAACTAAAATATCGTGTCACGATGTATCGGTTTATCGCGCGTTAAATTTACTTTGTACACTATCAATGTTCGACAATGTTATCTCGTCGAAATGTTATCGATTTATCGCTCGTTAATTTTAGTTTATAAAAGTCTTCGAATTCGAACGATTTTCATACGCGGCGACGGAAGTGTCGCAAACGTAACTTTACGTCGGAGGTTCGTGACATTGACTTATTTTTAGGAACGTAATGCTATGTCAGAGAATGGCATATTTAGATACCGCGAGCATTTACTTTTACAAAACTCGGACAAGCGAAAAATTGTAGCTTCGCGTCGAGAAGTTCTTCCGAATTTTGCCGATAAATTTACAGCGTGTCCCGATGATTTTTCGAAACAGAGTTCCTATATTTCTTTGGACCAATCTTCGAGAACTTTTAAGCTGTGCAAGTTAAGAAACGTTCGAACAATTTTACCACAATTTTTCACGCGAGATCAACTTTATATTGGTTTATTATTAAATCAAGATAAATAATAATAAAATTTTATTACCATATCGACGCGAAGAAAGTTCACAATATTTTTAAACGTTATAAAAATATTATTTGATATTCTATATAGCAATCTATATTCTAAAATCGTTTTACTTTGTATTCTTTCTAAAGCGATATTTTATAAATATCTTGAACTTTCTTTCGAATCAATATTATTTGAGATGCTTCGATGCGAAGCTAAACAGAAGAAATATTCTTCTCATGGGGATTTTTTCAAGCGGTTGGATGGTTTATTTATATTTACTTGCTAAATATTGTAAGCAAACAAAAGTTGTATTTGCAGCTCTACAGTGTGATTGTCGAACAATAAAAACATAGAAGATAAGACAGCTTGAGTTAAGATTAACTCTTACCGGTGAAACGTATCGCGTTTAAAACATCGAATTAATTTGTTAGCACGCGATATCGCGTGACTGGACAGTTAGCACCGACGATGAAATTTTTGTAGATATTTTATTATAATATTACTACACCCGCATAATTGTGTTTTCAACTCCCACTTTATTTCGCAAAAAAAATCAATAATCTAAATTGCCGCAAATCCACGAAGCATAAAATTGCAGAAAATTGTTATCCAGGATCGAACAACTCGTATCATAACTCGAACGACTAAAACGCTTTAGCCTTGCCGGTATGCAAAACGTCTGCCGTAACCGCGGGAAGGAAAACGATGAAAAGATAAACCAAGACGAAGGCTTTCGTTTATCGTTCACGATCAAAATATGTCTACTCTTATCTCGGCTACTTATGGTGTAACATGTAATTATTTTATCGCGCGACGCGAGTCGATAAGCCAAAATTTCCTTCTGCGAATTACCGCTGCAACGATTAACCGAAGATAAAACAACGACA